ATGGTGTGGCCATCCCCCCTGGTGGATGACTTCTCACTTTCTGTCTCCCTATCCCTGTCTTTCCAGTGAGCACATGTGCCCTATAGCAAAAACCTCTCTTAAAAAAAAAGGGAAAGAAATTCAAGATATAATGTGGTAAGGAATGAGAACATAGTAGAAAGAATTGGGGCTTGGAATCGGCTACCTCCATAAATAAGAGTGTGTCACCAGTCTCTCCAACCCAAATCTAAGATTTAGTGACATAAAGGTTTCTGGTATCTAGCCTATTCCTAGAATAATCAGTATTGCAATCATAGAAGCATAATATCAGAGTGCAAACAGTCAATGAGGAATGCATACCCTGGAGAGAGGAGACTGGTGGACATCCTAGTATAATCTGAGCGGGATGGAAATTAATAACCAAAAGGCACACATGCATAAATTAGAACTAATACAAACTAAACTGAAAAACTGAGTGAAAAAGTATTGCTGCTGCTGCTGTTACACAGATTCATGTTGTAATAGAAAATGCTATAATTTGTCTCTGACAGAAAACATCTGTACAAAAGAGGCATTCAACTCAGTTTATAAAAGAGAAGAGAATGAAGGTGGTAAAGAGGAGGGATAAACACAAAGAAAAGAGAGAAAAGGAGGGTCCACTGAGGGGAAAACTGGAAGCCATTTGTGGGAGGGGTGAAGTTTAATTAGCCAACTGGAGGATGCTCTGCAAACTTCCATCAAGAGTCATTAGAAGTTTAGAGATGTAGGGGAACCAGCAGTTAGCATAATGGCTATGTCGCTGGACTCCCACGTAGTTGACCGCGGTTCAAGTCCTGGACCCGGTGGCTTAAAACTCACACTGGGCGAGTGTGCGTACGTGCCCAAGATCCCGAGAGGAGAATGGAGGAGAAGGGATTGCGGCGTGACCATCCCTCCCCCCGGGGGGTGATTTCTCGCTTTCTGTCTCTATGTCTCTCTCTTCTGTCTGGCGAGTGCATGCGCCCTATAGTGAAAAACCTTTCCAAAAAAAAGAAAAAAAAAGGAGTTTAGAGATGTAGATTCAACTAATACTTTTTTTTTTTTTCCTGAGAGGTTTTTGCTATAGGGTGCATGTGCTCGCCAGAAAGAGAGAGAGAGAGAGAGAGACAGAGAGACAAAAAGCGAGAAATCACCCCCCAGGGGGGATGGCCACGCTGCAATCCCTTCCTAATACTTTTTTTTTTTTTTGGAGAGTTTTTTTTTTTTTGCTATAGGGCACGTGGGCTTGCCAGCAAGACAGAGAGAGACAGAGAGACAGAAAGCGAGAAATCAACCCCCAGGGGGGATGGCCACGCTGCAATCCCTTCTCCTCTCAGGCTCTTGGGAACGCACGGACATGCACCCAGCGTGAGGTTAAGCCACCGGGCCCAGGACTCGAACCACGGTCGACTACATGGGAGTTCAGCAACATAGCCATTATGCTAACTGCTGGTCCCCTTCAACTAATACTTTTTGAAACTGAACTACAAAACAGGTACCGTACATTCACATAAGTTACATCACATAATCCTTCAATATTTGAGAATGACTGTTATTTCAATAATATGTCTAGGTTCACTATTACCTTCCAAAAACTTGAAAGGAAATCATATATTTCCACAAGATAAAACTTGCATTACTAAAATGTTAGTTCCTTTGCTATAATTAAGTGAACTAAATGAGGTAATACTAAACATTTCATGTTAACCATAGGCTATGATTGGCGGTGACATCTTTAAAAAAAGTTTAATTACTATTTGATAAATCAGTTTATTTGATGGATGAAAAATTTTAAGGTGAGGAACCCACGGAAGGAAACAGTAAAATCACTCTTTGGTGATACCAAAGTGGGGAAGCCACAAGGTGGAAACTTCTAGCCAGCATGGCCCTGACCCACAGTTTAGCAGCTGAAGGGCACCTCTGGTCTGATGTAAAAAGAGCAGAGATGCCAGAGGGAAAGTTCTGATGGAGTGTTCTTTTTAATGCTCTGACTAAAGAAAATATTCACACACTCCAATTTACGACATAAAGTGAGGTGGCAAATGTCTGTTTGAACCTTCCTGTCTAGCAGTAGGACATAATTCCAACTTGAGTTTCATTATGGAGAACTATAGCCACACAATCAACACTGCTTCCAGACTTTAGATTTTCATTCAGATAAGCAGAGGTGGGAAGAGAAACTGCTCCTGAGAGCATCCTCTCATAGCCTGGGTTTTAGGGGATGGGAAAACTTCTTTGATTACTAGGCATTAATCGAGATGTTGGACAGATATTCACACATTCATCCTCAAAGCCATGAATCATAAAAGAGAACCAAAATAAATGTCGATGCACTATATATTCCAGGGTCCCTGCAAGCAAGGTAACATAATACAGGGTGACACATCTTAAGTACCATCATAACTCCTGGAGGGACCCAAACCTACCTACATTTAGCTCATTTGTGCAGGTTTAAGGAACTCAACTTTCTGTCATGATCATGAGCTATAAATTTACATCCCTTTCCTGTCTCATGATCCCAACCCTATTTGTGCCTTCTTTCATCCCAGACACAAACAAGTAGGTGCCCGCATCTCTCCCTGTGCCTTCAACACTACTCCAAAGATAACTTCCAGGACCAATGACATGCTCTGTGCTTGCTTCAAAGCTCAATCCACTCACCCTTTACTACTCCGCCACCTACCACCACTTTCCCTTACCAAACAATCAGGGTGAGCAAAAGCCTCTCAATTCTCTCTGCTAAGAAATTCCTTTCCACTATAATGGGTCTGATGGAAAGAGGGGGAGTGTGAGGACAATTCAATTAGTTTTGTGACCTCGGGCAAGGCACTTCTATTTCTTGGGTCTCAGTTTCCTCTACTACAGGATAAGAAAGTTAGATCATATAAGCAGTTTTTCTAGTGCTCCATGGAGCTCTAGAAATTCCATAGAGCCTTATCATGGAAGAGAAAGGGTAGCAACTGATAGAAGGCTCTGGGTGTACCTCTTCCCCCCACCCCATAAGGTATAAGTGCTCGCTGAGGAGAAACAGAAAAAGAGGGAAAGTGAGAGCCCGGGGTGGGGGGAGGAGGGCTACCATCAATCTCTTCTTCTCTTCCAGTCTCCTCTGGAGATTTTAGGCAAGACTGCACATGTGCCTGGCATGATTTTCAAGCTGCTGGGCCCAAGACTTAAACTGCAGAGTTAGCTAGGTGGGATCTAGCCATCTTAACTTCCACACCATCTCTGGCTCTTTAATAAGAGCAGTGCCGAGCTTTAATTTTATATATAAAAATAAACACACACACACACACACACACACACACAAACGTGTGTGTAACACAATTACATTATGGCAGGGTTCCTCGGATTAAAAGCCTGAGAGGTGCCTCATATGGCACTTGGCACACAAATCATTTACAAATCATTTAATGAATGAAGACCAAAGGGAATGGGATGATCTCTATGATATATTCCAACTTGGAACTCCTATGGTTTTGTGGATACTTAACATGAATTATAAACAAATGGTATCCCTCTGCCTGTTTGTAAAGGTACTGAGACTTATTTTGTGTGTTCCTTCATTTTGGGGGACAAAAGTGTACCCAATGCTGACTGCAGGAAAAAAAAATGCCCTAAAGCTACTGGGTACATACAGTTTGAAATCTAAGAAGTTTTTTTGGCAAGTAGGAAAAAGGGAGTATATCCTTGAAAGAATACCCAAGTCTGTGTCCTTGCAGTAGCAGAGTTTAAATGTAAGAAAAGTGACTAGACAATAGGCTATATACAACCAAGTCATATGCCCTTCAAAGATAAAGCTAAAATAAAAATAAAAGGGTCATCATCAACACAAACTTCGTAGGCGATGAATTAAGGTTCACACTTACTCTGTGATTTTGGGATCCAGATTGCCAATCCATAATCGGTGCCCCTCTTGTAGAGAGCCCTCTGAAAGGATGGATGCGTTCTCCAGGGGAAGAGTTTTGGTTTCTGCTTCCATCAATCTCTATGAAATACTAAAGGAAAAGTGAACACTTAGGCGGGAGAGGAGCGGTACTTGTGAGAACAGGAGACTTCAAATTCAACTCAACAAATATTTATTCAAGGAGGGCAGGCCCTTGGGGCAGTCTTTCGAAGACCTCAGTTATTCCACAACCAGGGCCCTAGAACCAGTTCCCTTGGGACAGCTTTTCTGGCAGCCAGAACACATGGAAGCTGCCATTTAAGGCAAAAGAGGTGTGGTTCTACGTGGAAAAAGTGAAATTTTCCTCCTCTGAAGCCAGAGGCAGACTGGGCAAGATGCCAAAGTGTCTAGCTGGGCCCAAGACTTAAACTGCAGAGTTAGCTAGGTGGGATCTAGCCATCTTAACTTCCACACCATCTCTGGCTCTTTAATAAGAGCAGTGCCGAGCTTTAATTTTATATATAAAAATAAACACACACACACACACACACACACACACAAACGTGTGTGTAACACAATTACATTATGGCAGGGTTCCTCGGATTAAAAGCCTGAGAGGTGCCTCATATGGCACTTGGCACACAAATCATTTACAAATCATTTAATGAATGAAGACCAAAGGGAATGGGATGATCTCTATGATATATTCCAACTTGGAACTCCTATGGTTTTGTGGATACTTAACATGAATTATAAACAAATGGTATCCCTCTGCCTGTTTGTAAAGGTACTGAGACTTATTTTGTGTGTTCCTTCATTTTGGGGGACAAAAGTGTACCCAATGCTGACTGCAGGAAAAAAAAATGCCCTAAAGCTACTGGGTACATACAGTTTGAAATCTAAGAAGTTTTTTTGGCAAGTAGGAAAAAGGGAGTATATCCTTGAAAGAATACCCAAGTCTGTGTCCTTGCAGTAGCAGAGTTTAAATGTAAGAAAAGTGACTAGACAATAGGCTATATACAACCAAGTCATATGCCCTTCAAAGATAAAGCTAAAATAAAAATAAAAGGGTCATCATCAACACAAACTTCGTAGGCGATGAATTAAGGTTCACACTTACTCTGTGATTTTGGGATCCAGATTGCCAATCCATAATCGGTGCCCCTCTTGTAGAGAGCCCTCTGAAAGGATGGATGCGTTCTCCAGGGGAAGAGTTTTGGTTTCTGCTTCCATCAATCTCTATGAAATACTAAAGGAAAAGTGAACACTTAGGCGGGAGAGGAGCGGTACTTGTGAGAACAGGAGACTTCAAATTCAACTCAACAAATATTTATTCAAGGAGGGCAGGCCCTTGGGGCAGTCTTTCGAAGACCTCAGTTATTCCACAACCAGGGCCCTAGAACCAGTTCCCTTGGGACAGCTTTTCTGGCAGCCAGAACACATGGAAGCTGCCATTTAAGGCAAAAGAGGTGTGGTTCTACGTGGAAAAAGTGAAATTTTCCTCCTCTGAAGCCAGAGGCAGACTGGGCAAGATGCCAAAGTGTCTATTACTACCTGATACACCAGTTCAACAACTGTCACCCCAAATAAGCCTTGGAAACCCCCAGGAAGAATCTTGAGAATACTGAAGAGGGTGGGTAGGGAGCAGTATCATTACCTCCCTTTTCCTCAGGGAAGAGCAAGGCAGGAAGTCTGTGCACAGAGTTTGGATTTGGAACTGGGTTTGAAAGCCGGCTATGTGACTTGGTGAATTACCTGAGCTTTTTAGGCTTCAGTTTCCTCATATATAAATGAAGAGAACAGTTCTTGTTTTACAGGGCAATCGTGAGGTTTACATATAATATGTAAATCATCAATGAACACTGTATCCAACAGTAATAAATATATAGTAGCTACTATCTTAAATTTTAAAAAAATATTTATTTTATTTATTACTATTAATTTGTTATATGGCATGTGCCAGGAGAAACAGAGAGAGAGAAGAGAGACAACGACAGAGAGGGTAAGTGAGAAGGTGAGCTGCCAGGTCCGGGACTCGAACTGCAGCTGGCCATGTGGGAGTCCAGCCCCTTAACCATCACATTTCTGGCTGTTCGCTCTGCTATCATGTTTAATATTTTGGTAGAGACTGAGAAGCACCTAATAGCCTATTTAGTTATTCCAGTCCCACCATATGCTAGCTGTGTAACCTTGGACCAGTTACATAACTACTCTTTGCGTCAGTTTCCTCATGTGTAAAATGGGGATATCATACCAAACTATTGTAAAGATTCAATGAGTTAATACACCCAAAAGGTTTAGGGTGGCCCTTGATACCTAGGAAGCATTCAATTGATGTTAGCTTAAACCATTACTATTGATAGTCCTAGCTGAAACATCTCATCTCACAGCAAAGGAAGAGGGTTATGATGGAGACAGTAGTGAGAAAAGCAAAAGGTGGGATGTTTGAAGACCTGGTTTCGAATTGTGGCACTTCCACTGCAAGTCATTTCTCTGTGAGCTTCCATTTCTTCTTTTTTTTGGGAGAGGTTTTCGCTATGGGGCGCGTGCGCTCGCCAGACAGACAGAGAGAGACAGAGAGACAGAAAGCGAGAAATCACCCCCGGGGGGGATGGTCACGCCACAATCCCTTCTCCTCCATTCTCCTCTCGGGATCTTGGGCACGCACGCACACGCGCCCGGCGTGAGATTTAAGCCACCGGGTCCAAGACGCGAACCATGGTCGACTACGTGGGAGTCCAGCGACATAGCCATTACGCTAACTGCTGGTTCCCCCATTTCCCCTCGTTAAGGGAAGCTTTGTTGTACTTATAAGGTTGCTGAATGGGCTGAAAATGAGATGACAGATGTAAAGTAAAGCTTTCATAATTGTATAATGCCATGGAAAAAGTGGTTGGGAAGATGTCAGGCTGTGTCAGACTTGAGCACTCACTAATACTGAAAACCTGTGTCCTGTACTTCCAAAAGTGCCTTGGAGGTCAGCACTGCAGAGCTATGTCTTAATAACACGGATGACATGTATTGACACTACTGTTACCTCTTAGTCATCTCCACATATCCCATAAAGACTAGAGCTCAGTAACACAGTAATTGTTGAATGTGCTTTTATCTACCATCTGCAAATCGGGCTATTTTTTTTTTTCTGCCTTTCCCACGGACATCTTTTTTTTGGGGGGGGGGGGGAGGTTTTTGCTTTACGGGGGGGGGGCCCGCCCAACAGACGG